GCCCCTCCCCCCTCTGCCCAGCGTAAAGCACAAGGCTCGCATGCTGAGTGAAGCAGAAAAAAAGTGCGAGAGAGAGGGTGAGAGAAAGAAGAAAAAAAAAACACACGTGACGGCTCGCGATAAGGAGCCGCTCGCGTCGTTCACGTCAAAGAGCCGGCTCTAAGAGCCATTTCGTTCGCGAATGACCCATCACTAATATTTAACCCCGTGCAGACGGATTCCCCATGCCAGTCCGTTAATCACCTCTCTGTGGTAATTTGCCTCCCGCGAAAGCGTACTGATGTATCATTTGAACTGCGTTAACTCTGCCTTCATGTGTCTAGATTTCGATCTGGCGTCCTACATCTGCCACCTGCCTGCTGGCTTGGACCACCCGGTGCACCACCTGGCCTCATCACTGACTCTACGGATACCCTTTCCACAGACTTTCACACTCCCTTCCCGAGTCCCACGGTCCCACTCCGATCATAAGCCAACTACACAAACCCTGTCTTGTTGCGTTTACCTGTTTTCCCAGCTCACTATTAATTTTCTCCCCTTTCTGTTGCAGCCTCTCACGGTCCCGATTTCGGCTTCCCCGCATCATCTATTTCCCCGGGTTTTTCAGTTCCTCGCTTGCTTCTCTGGTTATCCTGGGTCACCTTTTGTTAATATAGTAGTTTTTTGCTGCTCGCATTTGAGTGTGCTTTTGGATCCTTTTGGTGTACGTGCACCTCGGTGCCTGACAAATGACACTGACCACTGTCCCATTCTACCTCCTCCTGAAGTCCCACTGCGCCCAAGTCCTCCACCTATTGGAGTTTCTAGTAACTACAGAAAACACCTAAATTCAACTTTCTCAGAAAAGCCTCCTGGTGCAACTGCTCATGAGGATTCACCGCGCCCACCTGATGAAATTGCACACTTTCCAAAGAAGAGATACTTCCATTTATCTACTGTTGCTTTTCCTTGTCTCGATGATTAAAGATGTGTTTGTTGTAATAAATACATTTTTGAGCAAATACATGTTGAGATGGTATGCTTGCTTATGGTGGTTATGAAAGGATTCAAAAAGGATTATTGCTGATAAACTCTTAGCTTTTCCTACTCATGTTCTCCATGAGCTATTTTGATGTATACTTTGAAGATCCACTCACATTATTATTAAATATGTATATTCTCAGTAGCGTATATAGCCACATGTGAACAAGGAATACATTCAATTCTACCAGATACTCATTAACAAGTTACCTCAACATAAACAGTGTTGTGGAGTAATGGAATACATCCTCTATGCTGTTACGTATATAAAATACAAAATATGCGTAACTGTATTCCTTTACAGTTACCCTATTAAAAGGTGGTATTCAAAATACAGTTACTTTGTTGAAATGAATGGATTACACAGCGATATTTTCCTGTTTCATAAGGCTGTGCCCTCTCTATTTTTGCCCAAACAAAACACACATTAAGGACCCGGCCATCGCAGTCTACGTGGGCCAGGTCCTCAGAAGGTCGGGTAGGCCAGAAGTAAACGGCTGTGAAATTGGACGGTCTAGCCTGATCTACTCCCGCCCTTAATTAAGAATATTTCCGGTCGTCAGCGCCCCGAAATCTTGCTCTGTTTTTTGTGTACATTTTTAATTATCGACAAGCTAAAAAAAACTGTGTTGCGGTCGTCATCGCCGGCATGCTTCGAATTGCAGGCTCATCAGAGAAAATCATATCCAGGTAAAACTATTAATCTAGATGCATTTAGGAATTACTTAGCTAGTTTTATGGATAATTTTGGTGACTGAATGACAGCGGTCATTCAAAATATATGAACAAAATCTCTTAGAAAATGTTCTTCTATAAGTTTCAATTTATTTTCAATTATTCATATGATCCTGTTACTTATTTGTGTACATAAAATGGCAGTAAAATTGTCAGAAAGCTGAAAACGGTTAATTTTTAGTTCATAAAAAAGCTTAGCTACACAGATGAAATGTTTAAACTGTTATTTATCAGTGTTAGTATATTTCACTCAAGCTTAGTAATCAATATATGCCATAATATATATGTCATAAAATAAATGAAGTCATACCTTTCTATTAAAACTGTTTATGCTGTTCTCCACCTTTTCCTTAACCAGACAAGGCCGTTGTACTGCAGGATTAACCAAGGTGTACCAGTCCTGGACTGTTTTTTTAACCAGGAGGATCCAAGGCCTGATTTTCGGCTAAGCAGGGCGTCTCTGGCAGTATTGCTAAATCTCCTGAACCAGGATCGGCAGCATGGATGGGGTGCCACAATTGAGATACTGGTGTATCTTTTCTGGTTGGCAAGTGGAGCATCCTACAGGGTGGTCTCAAGAGTGTTTGGATGCCTCGTTCTACTGTCCACTACATCGTCCACCGAGTCACAAAACAGGTGTTGGCCATTTGCTACCAGGTCATCCACCTCCCAACAACTCCAGAGGACCTGGAGGTAGTGTCCCGTGGGTTTGCAGGGCTGGCACACCACAGAGCCTTTATGAAAGCGGTGGGTGGAATCGACGGCTGCCACGTACGCATCAAGTGTCCAAGTGGCCCTGATGGTCAGTCCTATAGGAACAGAAAACTGTTTCTATCCATCATCTTGCAGGCGGTTTGTGACCATCGGGGCCGCTTTATCGACACATACGTGGGCTGGCCTGGGTCGGTGCATGATTCCAGGGTGCTCCGCCACAGCCCACTGTACAGTCAGTCAGTCTACCCTCCTCCAGGGCATTTCATCCCCGCAGATGGAGAGTACCCATGCCTCCAGCGTCCACTCCCTTTCAGCACACCCTACAAGAGGCCAGTCCAAGGTGTGTAAGCCCAGCGCTTTAACAGCCATCATTCCAGGGCACGCACCATCATAGAGCGTGCTTTTGGAATGATGAAAACGAGGTTAAGGGCCATCTTCCTGCAAGTGCTGGAGGTGCAACACACCTTTAAACCCCACCACTCAATGTCAAATTAATTGTGTGTACACACACATCTATATATATATATATATTAGGGGCATAGCTGGACTGGCCATCGGGCATACCGGGCATTTGCCCGGTGGGCCGCTGGCGATTTTTTGTTTTTATGGGCCGATGGATTTTTTATTTTTTTATTTTTTATTTTTAGGAAGGGTATATATATAATGAAAGGTGTTGGATTGGCCAATTGGTCATGATCGACTCTGGGCTGGACCAATTACAGCCGAGGAGGCCGGATGCACCCTCCCCCTTGTTTAGCAATCACGTGATTTTCGCGCATTGCATGCCGGAAACTCGTGGCAAAACAATCCAAGTACCGCATCAAATGCAAGCATTTGCAGCACCGCAAAACGTTCATTCTCCGGTTCCAATACCTTCTTGTTTTTTCTTTGACGCACAAAAAAGGAATGTACAAAACAAAAGGAGAACAAGGCCGTACAAAGACAGACTCGACGAAAAGACAGAGAAAAGATACGAGGAAAAAATCAAAGAAGTGAAAGGGTTAGACCCTTACGAGCACACAGAGTGGACAAAAGACATTAGCGTGATGCCCAACTTTCACCACGCTCAGATTTATAATTATACGGTTCTTGGAGTGAGTGCATACACTCATGAAGTTTAGTAACTTCAGGTCACTGCAACAAGCCCAGGTACAGTTTACTGACGGATGGGTGCAGGACCTTGGTCCAAAGATTTGCACCAACATTTGTTTTGATCCAGCATTATTTTTAATGCAGGGGCAAATTAAAAAAAAAAAAAACTTACGTTCATTGCCCTAGGAACCGTTTTCTGCCACGCCCCAAAAAGTGCTATAAAAAGATTATATATCCATATTTTTTTCCACTTTAAATTAGCCAATCTTTTAAAACTACTTCTCCCTGAAATATTCATATAGTTTTAATTATATTTCGGGGGTTTTAGCCCTTTAAATCGCAGTTTAATTACATGAGCGCACCGTTTTTTTAGCCCCCCAAAAAAAACCGTAATATTTTCCATAAAATACATTTGAAGTAATATTTCACTTTTATTATAATTAGGCCTTTGGATGGTCCAAAGATTCGCACCGACATTCGTTTTGATCCAGCATTATTTTTAATGCAGGGGCACAGGAAATTCAATATAATGGTATATTATGATTTTTCACTTTTTCCCCAATGCTTTTTACCTTGTTGTGTTCTAAAATAAAATGAAAAAAAATATGTAAATGAAAATACAAGATCAGTTTGAACCAGAAAAAAACTTTTATTTAGAACAATGAACATTTATGTTTTTGGGAACGGGAAAGATATAAGTAAGAAAGAGGGAGGGAGAGGGGAAGAGCATATGTGGAGGTGTGGTGTGTATGTGGAGGTGTGTCAGAGTCCTCAGTTGACGCAGTCTTTGCAAATGAACACAATGTGGTCCTTACATGTGGACTTCCCGCATTTGCAGCAGGTGCCGACGACACGTCTCCTTTTCTCATCGCAGAAGTCGCACTGTCTCCTGCCCTTGGAACTAGGGATCAGGGCGGGGCCTGCAGCAGCACTCTGCCCCCTCGTCACGATGTCTGCAGCACCTGATGAGCGGGGAAGGCGTCCTCGCTTCAGTATGTGTGGGTTTACTAAAGCTTCACCCACTTCTTCAACATATAGCCTCCGTTTGTAATTTTTCTGCTGTTTCCAGGATGGGTCAATAGCGGTCCACAGCACGTAGGAGTTGTACAGTGACACGTCCAGCAGGTTGTGGAAGAGTGCCACTGGCCAGCGATTTGTTTTCCTCCTAGAGGAATAGGTGCCAACAACCTAAAAAAACCACACACACACACACACACACACACACACACACAAAAAACAGAAAATTTCAAACCTATGTATATTTTACACAAGAATATATGAGCAAGAATGAATAAATCTGTGCGTAACTGATGCGTGATGACACCTACCTTGTCAAGGTTGTCGACGCCACCTTTGCACCGATTGTAATCTTGGATGATTACTGGCTTTCGCTTCCCTTCCCCGCTCACATCCGGAGTGCGGTGTTTTGTGCTCATCAAGAGCACATTTTTGCCACGTCGGGAGACATAGGAGACGAGAGTGTGGGTGAGCGTGAAGGCGAACGCAGACAACAGGACCGCTCTCCCTCTTGTCTGGAGCAATCGAGGTGGAAGCTCCGGCTTATTTTTCCTAATCGTTCCAACTAGGGCCACTTTCCTCTTCAGCAGCTCTTCTGCCAGGGCAAAGGACGTGAAAAAATTGTCACATGTCACCACGTTTCCCTGGAGCCCCTCCGTTAGCTCCAGGGCCACCCGCATCCCCTGGTTCACCTCTGCGCGATCGCCAGCTTTACCGGTGTATACCTGGAGTCTCCAGGCGTAGGAAGTTTCCACGTCGCATACAGCCCATATTTTTAGACCGTACCTTGCTGGCTTCGTTGGTATATATTGCTTGAACTTGCACCTTCCCCGGAACGGGACGAGCTGTTCATCAACACAAATGTCTCTACCTGGGTTGAAGAGCAGCTCCAGGCGATGTGTCCACAAATCCCACACCTTGCGGAAGGCAGCCAGCTTGTCCTGACGGGGTCGGGAAAGCTTATCATCAAAACAGAGCGCCCCGCCGATTTGATGGAAACGCTTGTGGGACATGGTGGCTCGAAAAATATCCCGTCCGCATTTATCACCCCAGAGGCTGCCAGACGATTCGTGTCTTGACCGGTAAACACCGGCCAAGATGAGCAGCCCAACATAAGCACGCAATTCATCACAGTCCATGTCACGCCAGCCGTGTGCTGCACAATTTCATCCGTGAAGAGGAGTGCAAAGCTGGATGCCGGGTCCCTGATTCGGGCGGCGGCGTAGTGTGTCGGTCCTGGGGTGACATTTGTAGCTGCAGGAAAATAGCGGAGGGTCTCCGTATGAGTGGGGGACCAAACGATTTTGCCATTTTTTGCAGTCCATTCCGAAGCTGCTTCCTACATCTCCCCTTCGCTCTCAGCATCAGATGTTTCTTCGTGGGAACTGGACTCCAGCTGCTCTAGTTCCACAGAATTATCCGTTTCCTCTCCAGAATCCTCGGAGGAGGATGAGGAGTTATCCTGGCACTCTGAGTCCAGGACCATTTCCAACACTTCATCTGTGCTATAATATCTTGCCATCCTGAAAATGACTACTCCCGCTCTACTGCTCATTCTTATAACCTCTGCTGCATTGCATCTGCATAAACAATTTGAGCCCGCAGACAAAACCCAGTCTAATTTGGTTTCGGCCCCTGCTTTTATGTTTATTTTGTTTATATTGCAGCGTGGCCTTCTAACAGAGGAAAGACTTTTGAAGTTAGACACAGACACACTTATTTTTCTCTTTCCTTTTTAAATTTTTTTAGGCATAAAGACCTTTATTTTACATTTTTTAAACATACACACCATTGTCTAAGACTGTTAGTGACACAGAATTATCATTTATTTGAGCAGAAAGTCTATGGAATAAATACGAGAGTTACTTCATTTCCTTCACTTGCCCAAAAGTGAAAAAATGGCGCCACCTGGTGGACAAATATAAAAAATAAAACTTCAATGCCCTGAGTCCTCATTGACATCCAAAGCAAAATAAATAAATAAAATCATATAATAATAATTTTGGAATGAAAAATAGCTGTTGTGGTGAATCCACTAGCCAAAAAATGAATCGGACATCAATTGTAGAAACGATAGTTTTATATAAGGCTTCAAAAGGGGAATGTACAACAAATAAACTGCTCGACATCAGAGCAACATACAATGGCTTCCCAAACTTTCTTTTCTAGCTAAAAAACCCCAGAGTAACTTTCGTCTACCACAAAGGATTCTGGGAAACGCAGTTTTCTAATGAAAATACCTGTTAAATGCTCCCTTTTAGCAGAAAATTAAATCTATAATTAACAGCCCTCACTAAACATGTGACTAATTAAATCACTTACAAAATAATCAAAATGCTGTTATCAAACAAAACTGCAATAAAGTTACAACAATAGCGTTTATAATGGAAGTCAATGGGGCACAAAACGGTCCCTAGGGTAATGGGTGTGGGGATTTTTGCTGCTCAGCCAGGCTGTTTTAAGAAATTCACACTGAAATTTTAAGAATCTTTTAAAAAAATAATCCTTTGGCAAGTTTGGTTATATTCCACTGAACACAGTGGAAATGGCATGCATTTAAAACAAAAAAGTGGCACAAAAAGGTCCCAGTATGACATGAGGGCTAGGGATCTTTTTTAATAGCACTTTTTCAAACTGTTGTCTGCTACAGAGTCACAAGTATTATACTAGTAGTAACATAGAATCCACTTTCTACGGTTTGCATATTTCTGAAAAACCTCTTAGTGGTGTGGCAGCCGTCAATTGAGCCAGCCTTGCAAACCCGTGGATGGACTATGCAGCGGACAGAGGGAGGAAGCATCCTAAAACTCTCTTTGCAGACCACCTTGTGTGATTCTCCACTCTCCGACCA